TTCGGGTCCGGTGACCCTTCCTCTGTCCTGAGGAAGGATCACCGGACTCGAAACGTTAACTCTGTTTTTTCCTTCACAGATGCTGCCAGACCTGCTGGGCTTTTCCAACAACTGTGAGTGATCAATCATGATCATATTCAATCATGAAGCAGACTCTAAGGGCCACATGGCCTACTCCTAATTTCCATGTTTCTATGCCTGGCCTCCGTGTACCCCTTGTTCCAGAGCAATGTGGTTGATGCTTAACTGCTTTCTGGGTAATTGGGGATGGGCAATAAATGTTAGCCTAGCCAGTGTTTCCCACAATCCTAAGTGAATTTTAAAAATTTGTTATTTGAGGTTTACATGGTGACTTTATCCTTCCCAGTTGGAACATTGTAAATGTACTGAATCGTTGATGACTTTTGCAAAGGTGATGCAGTGATGTTAGGAACAAAAAGAATCAAATTAAAGCATTAATACTGAGCCTGATAAATGATGAATGAAAGCAAATGAAATGTATGCACTCCGAAACATAGTCTTCACTGATTTAACTTCACTTTGCATCTCTAACATTTCTCTGCCTCCATCCATTCCCTAAATTACAGCAGAACCATTAAGCAAACCAGCTGCCACATTACCCTTGTCATTGTTATTTCGACTGATGGTGTTTCACACTATCAACAGCAAGGCTGTAAGCCAATGACTGATTCTCTTGAAAGGTGATATCATTCTCTCAGCAAGGCATCAAAAATGGTTCATCGCTCATCAGATTCACCACTGTGTCCCATTTAGAGTATTGCGGAAATGCAAAGAGGGAAAACCCAGCCTTTGAAATTTCCTGACTAAGCAGATTCATCAGTACCTAAAGCTATAAAAGTGCTACATCACACACTGTCAGGTCCTCATGCTTCAGTACACCTGCAGTTAATGCATGTAAAATCAGAGCATTAGCAGTTAGGGAAATGTCCCCTTCACAGCAGTTGATTGAGATTCATTTGGTTAGCCTTCCAAAAGTCTTTGATGAATTTATGTCATTATGATGAATGAATTATTAATGTTGCAACATGTTTTTAACTCTCAATGTCTTAGTGTGTTAAAAAAATGATACTGGAATAAATAGTGTTGATGTGTTCTTAAACTGCCAATGTCATCATCGCGTACTGTAAGACACTTGGGTTCTGTGTTAAGTAGCTACATCTAATTCTTGAGCATGAGATAAAGATCTGAACCGATGACCAATATTGGCCCTAGAAAATCCACATGTGATTTCATGATAATGTAAAACTGGCAATATTGAATTATCCATGCATTATATGTACCATCTATTTCCTTACAATCGAGGTCAAAGGGCAAATCAGGAGAGGTGCCTAATGTGCGGTGATTTTGACAGCATGCAATTGCATCAGAAACTGCTATTGAAATTAGGCCTGGTAGTTAAAATCACTCAGAGCTCCTGCTGGCTTATTTAGGTCAGTTGAAAGAATGACCTGTGGCTTCAACATGCCCACCATGACTCAATGGGTGACTCAATTGTTTTTGGAGGCTGAAAGTATCAATTCAATTTCTTATTAATTCACAGAATTTGGGTGTCACTGGCTAGTCCAACATTTATTGTCGATGCATAAATTCCTTTGAGTAGGGAGTGGTGAGCATCTTATTAAACCTCCACAGTTTTTGGCATGGGGTACACATGCAGTGCTGTTAGAGAGGGAGTTCTAGGATTCTGACTCAGTGACACTGAAGGAACAGCAATACATTTCCAAGTCAAGATGGTGTATAGTTTGGAGTGGAACTTGCAGGTGTTGGTGTCTTCATGTGTCTGCTTCCTTTGACCTTCTAGATGGTAGAGGTTGCAGGTTTGGGAAGTGCTGTTAAAGCAGTCTTAGAGCATCTTGTTGATGTTAGACTCTGCTATCACTGCATCAGTGTTGAAGGGAATGAATGTTTGTGGATGTGGTGGTAATCAATTGGGCTGCTTTGTCCTGGATGGT